TAAGAATGTTTATTCTAGGTCTTTCTGATCCAGGGTCTGCTTTAGGGACAACAATGCAACTGACCACTTGAGGACACACTTTTCTGAGGGCTCCCTGGTCCTATTCTGATTTTCATGGCTCACCCATCTCCCTCTCCAGTTGTGGGACTGGGGATGCAAACACTCACTACTCATCATGCCATCTCCCACTCCTTCCAGCAGCCCAGAGCCGTAACTCTTGCCTTAGTCCTTTTCTGATGCCTCTTCAGCTAGCTCTCCTGCAGCAGCGCAAAACTTCACTTTTTCTGGTCTGCTAATCTGACTCTGCATGGAAACCTTGCAAGTGAACAGGGGGCCTTGGGATGGCCATTGGGGTCTGTAGGGAGTGCAGGACAGAGCATCTGTCTTTGGTTCTGGGGGAATCAAAGCTCACCTTTGGAATCCTATTTTCAACAGATTATGGAGCCTCAATGCAGTGCTTTTGAGGCAATACTCCTCACAAAATTATTCTGCCATATCATTTTCTGCTTCCAATGGCTTCTGCTTACTACAGGCCTCAGGCTTCCTGGATGTGAGGAAGGCCATCTCCATGCTGAATGGAAGGAGAGGCCTGAAGAATTGCTTCCCCTGCTTCCTTCGCTGTCACAGATAGCACTTACTGGATAATAAAATGCCTTGAGTGTCTATCAGCTAATACCTTCAATCAGCCAATGGTCTCAAGGACTTTACAAACATTAATTACTTCAGCCTTTGTCTGTTTTACAGATGATAAATCAAAGCACAGAGGCGAAGTGACTTGCTCAAAGTCACAGAGTAAGCCAGCAGAACGGGAATCCTAACGCCCAGTCTGCTGCTCTCACCACTAGGAACACTGCTTCTCATGCCTCCCATCTTGCTGTGGCTTCTGAATCATGACAGATTGTGTTTTAAGAAGTCACTGGGGTTTTCCTTTCTCCCTAAAGAACAACAATGATTTTTCAATCCACTTTCAATAACTCCATTGACAGGACAAGGTATGGAAGTGCTGCCAAAGGTCACGTCCCTAAATATCTGCACATAGAAAGGGGTCCCACTTTAGTCATAGGGCAGTGGGGGTTATGCGGCCGGGGTCATGTTCTCTGCTGGTATAGCTCCGTCGAATTCAATGGGTTGCCACTTCCACCGACTGTGAAGCTAGTTGTGCATCCCTTTCCCTTCTTCCAAATTTATTCTTCCTTGCTATTTAGAAGGGGGTTGTTACATTTATTTGTAATAGAATTAACAATCTAAAATTATCAGTATATGCCTGTTATAGATTTTGGGCTCAGCCACACCACACATATAAGCAGGCCAAGAGACCCAGTTCCAATCAGCAGCGTGGACAGGCACCATCTGTGTTGGAATCTTGTCGTGTTCACAGTATAAACTGTAACTGGATCAGCAGAGAGGCATGTTATAACTTCAGTGGCTCTGTGCAGGTAGTACTGACAGGCCCTGTGTCTCTCTGAGTGCGTCTCTCTCTGTCTCTATGCACACAGGAGTGGTGGATGATGACATCCTTCCCATGCCTGTTTATTAATTGCCCTGTATCCTGCTCGTTTAATGAGGCGCGTATTTTATTTGCTGGGAATCCCCTTTCCTCTTAGTGAAATTGCCAAGCCTGTCAGTCTGTATATGGGCCAGGATTAGTCTCATATCAGCCTTGTATGAGGAAAAACACAGGAGAATTTACTGCTCTCTGATAAAACTGAACGATTGCCCCATATGCCGGGTACTCTGGTTCCTGGAATTCTAACAGTTTCCTATTACAGCTGTCTCATGTAGTATGAAGTCCTGGGAAGGCAGGTGGGGAGAAAGATTGGTGGGGTGGTAGGAGGAAGTTTCCCAAACCAACTGGATTCTGTCTGGGGCTCTGCTCGGCGCATGTGGAGCTGCCATCCACCGGGACTCTCATCGCCAGGACAGAACATGGAGAGATCCATCGTCCAGCCCAGATTCCACCCTTAAACCCTCCATAGCTTCTGCCTTCTTTCCTCCAGCTGCTGCTACTTGCTGAAACTGGGCCAAATTCTCCTCTCAGCTGCACTGGTGTCAATGAGCCTGATCTTGGACCCACTGAAGTTGATGAGAATATTTCCTGTGACTTCAAAGGCCATTTTTCAAAGCCCCAGTGTGGGTTTACTCCTCTGAAGTCAGTGGATTTGCTCTGGATTGTTACTAGTAAAATCAGAATTTGTCCCTCCCTCTGACTGTACTAAAAGGGAAACATCTGCTAAGTGGGGCAGAAAAATTCAAATCAGCCTAAAAAGGAAGAGAAGATTTGTCCATTAAATAATGTTTTAAGGGGTCCCCTCTCAGGCCACCCATTCGCCGGTCCTGGTCTATGTGCTTAGCCCAGGATGGGTCGGTGTGTCATTCAAAGATGCCATCATGCAGGGACCAATTTACCACTGATTCATCAAGGGAGTCTCTCCTAAACTCTCAATAGAGAAGTTGTCAGTCTCTCAGGGAGAGGGGAATCCTCTCATACTAGACTGGAGCTTGGGTAACTTGACTAATGAGTAGGATGGTCTATTGTTGATGGGAGCAAAATCAAGCATTGCCAGTCGTGTACCCCATCCCTGCTTTGGTGTGACCATCCTCAAGGATGCAGGAAGTGTGTAGTCTCCTTGTCCCAGTCAGTCTTTGACCTCTCTGCTGAAATAAGGGTTTTGTGATATGGGAGTTAGGTATCTTTGAAGATCTGGGTCTTGTACACTAGGAACTGAACTGAAAACACCAGTAATGGTGAATTGCAGTCACCATCAACCTAGAGGTGAAAGGCTCCTATGTCCTGTTGACAGTTCCCAGCCTCCTGTGCCATCTAATTTTCCTCAAGCTCCCCCGTTCCCGTTTCGCATACATCTCTTCGTTTTCTATTCCTAGCATTCTGAACCCTCCCTGCCATATGTCCTCCAGACCTAATGGGAGCGAGCAAGTATTTCAGTCTTATTTAGTCAGCAGCCTAGCTGAACAAAGACTTGTTTTGCTGAACTAAGCAAAATGGGCCATGCTTTTATGATATTTTACTAGACACTATGGCAAATCCTGCACATATTTGACTTAGTGTCTGAACCATTTATCTAATCAAAGGGATCACTCTGGCCAAGCCTGGATTGGGACTGAGGTCCCAGGAATGAGGCTGTTAAGGGGCTGTATTCTACCACCCTCACCTCACACACATTGTTTCAAACAAATGAATTCCTGGCTCAGAATCCTCCTTGCTGAAGGGGAAGTGATATACCAGCCATGTGAGTTCAGAGTGGGGGTCCTTTGTATCTTTAATGATCCTTCTGCAACCACCCCAGGGAAAAACACTAGACATCAATCCCAAGAAAGGAATGTGGGGCTTTCCCATACCTCCAGCAACCAAGCTGAAGCAAGGTACCCTATGGAGCATACTGCAGTAGCCTCAGGGTATGGATGGTGTCTGTGCCTTCAGATATAGACTGTCAGTGTCTTGGGGCACAGACTTTGCAAAACACCATGCGGAGGACATCACCATGATTTTCCGTTCATGTGTCGAATGTCACAGCCCAGTGGCATGTACCATTTCGGAATCCGAGGGCCCCGGATTTCAGTGTTGAGCTGTCATAGGGAAGCCATTCCTATCAGTCAAGTCTTTTTGACTCAACGTGGCCCAGCCTGTCCTGTGCGCCTGTGAAGAGTGATTAAAACTAGTTCAGGGCCATTAACTCGCAGTGTGTAGATTAAATCGCCCTGCATTGATTGAGAAATAAACTGGGATGTTTTGATTACACAGAGAGCTGACACTAATCGTTAATTACTGGCCCTTCTATGCAATTTCAGCTGATGCTGTTAAGTGATAAATTGATTTTCACTTGTTGATCTTGTGTTGTTGTGCAATGGAAATTACAGTGGATTGTACAAAACCTTCCCAATGCAAACCACTGCCACACACTGGATAAACTGGCATCCCATAAAACCCCCAGATGAAGCCAGGAGCTCAGAAAAAGAGCACCTCTGTTTTCTGACATTTGTAACATACATTCTTACTGTCCTGTATTATTCGAAGGTCTGATCCAAAGCCCATGGAAGTTAATAGAAAGTCTCCCATTGATTTCAATGGGCTTTGGATCAGGACTTAACTCTACAGCATGTGTTGCGTGCTATAGTATATAAGAAAGACACCCTGCAGAATAAAGTTCTGTTGGATTATAAAATGCCTGGTGGAATTTTTAAAATACAAACACACAGGGCAGATTTTTCAGACTGGCCCTTGAAAATCAATTACAGGAAAATGAGTTGCTCTTCCGGGGTGAGATTTTTCAAAAATGTTAGACACACAAAAAAAATGTCAGTGCAATTTTATGTCTAATCCACCGTGCGCTCAAAATGCACACAGAGTCACACTCGTGCTCACGTTTGACACGTACCTTTGCATGCCAGGCTCTTCTGAAAATCTGTCCCTGAAAGTTGTTGGGAATGGCTGTGGAGTGAGAAGTGTTTATAGTGAGCTCTGGCCCTGTAAAACTCAGTTTATAGGGAAGTAAAATGAAAGTCCCCCATTGTTACCATGTGTAAATGGCAATTCCGGTTAAAGTGACCTTCTGTGAAAGGAAAGCGAGAGAGAGAAAAGGGTGTGTGGGACGAGAGAGAGAGAAAGCCGGAGAATATTGAAGGGGAGGGAACAGGGCAAGAACTTCTTTCTCCAGGAAGGGTTTTTCCAAGTTCTTACACTTCAGCTAAAATTAAGACCCATGATAACAATTAAGCATCAAGATCAATAGCCCAACAAATGTACTTCACTCATGGAGAATGCTCCTCTTTCTAAGTGCTGCCACCCCGGCATGTGCCCAGAAGCTGAAATCAGCAAAGTGCATGTAGATTCAATAATAAACAGTCAACAAAATCACTGCTGCCCCACCAAAAAAAAAAAAAACCAACCATCCAGCTTAGCGTTCACCAGTGGGTGAGATGATTAAAGATTAACCCCCCCGCCTCTTGCCTCCACCCCTCTGGGGAGTATAGGCCTTGAAGCTCAGCAAATCCTTTCAGAGAAATATTTGAAATAAAAGACAACAGATAGGGGACGCAGTGAAGGCAGCGGGAGGCTGAAGGGCCAATAACCTCCAACGAGGGAATTGCTGCAATCTGGCCCGTGTTTGCTGATGATAATGCGTCTCTCCAAAGCCCTGATAGACATGGAGATGGCAGATTATAGCGCAGCTTTGGACCCAGCTTACACCACTCTGGAGTTTGAGAACATGCAGGTGCTGGCCATGGGCAACGGTAAGTCTGCCTCCGGGTTTGCTTTCGCCAGTCAAAGGTGGGATCGGTGGTAGAGCCAGCCAGTGCCTTCGGGAGCACAGGTCATCTGGCAACAGGCATGTAGCTGGTGCAGAGGGCACGGGGGAGCTGAAGCACCAAGTCAGAGGGGGACTTTTCCTGCTCCTGTAAAGAAGTATTTCTGTTTAACTAACACGCCACGTGAACTGACCGAATGACATTAACTCAGATACCAAGGCAATGGGTGTAGTACAAGAACCTGAATAGAACAGAATTTTCCTGCTCAACATCTGGCCCCGGCAGACACAGCAGAGGGACTGCGAGCCCGAGCTGACAGCGACTGTCTCTCACAAGTCCCTAACCCAAAGGAAAGGAGACTGCAGAGTGAAGTGTGTTATTATTCTTTACCTCCCTGCTAGGCAGGGCTTCTGAGTAAGGAGCTTGCCATGGCTTGACAGAGGTACTGTGAAGCCCAAAGTTGGGATAGTGAACCTGGACAGAGAGCAGCCCCTCTAGCAGTGAAGTAGAATGAAAGCCCCAGAAGGTTTCAAAGTGCATCGCACCATACAGATTGTAATACCTCTACACAGAGACAAGCTGCTCATGTGCACAGGTGGTATGACGTTTCTCTTTACAACAGCCTGACCGCAGCTAGCTTGAACCCCGTTGCATGGCATAATTGGTATGAATTGAAACATGTGGGGCTCTGAGGAGCAGGTTCAGTCCTTTAACTGGAAATAGTATCAGCGTATCTTATAGTGGTGATAAAGGGGCACTTTCACCCACACACCCTGGAGGGAATCACAGGATTTGCAACATTGTCCCACTGATTATATTTTGGGACTTGTGAGGATTTCTTTTTATTAGACACTCAGAGACACAGTCAATGAAAATTCCTCTCTCAGTCCCCCCCAAGTCCTCTCTAAATACTGGGTTAATCGCTAAGCTAAGTGTGCTGCAGAAAGCAACTAACTCGCTCTCAGGGCTACCAGAATGAGGTCCCGCTCCCTGGTCAGCTCCCTGAACACGAGCCTGCTCTGAAGACACAAACAGCTTTTACTTACCGAATCCTGTCACTGCTCTCGTCTCACTGTGGCTGCAAGAGAGAACTTCTCCTGCCATAAACCATCTATACAGCGTTGGGCTCCCCCTGTATATTGTTCCTCTGCTCAGTACTCCATGGGGTCAGCATCTCCAGAGCATGGGAATCCAGAGGGAGCAGACCTGAGCGGTGGGTATAATCTGCCTGAAGTGGGGCATGAACTGTAACTCCCATTAACTGCATCAAGGCTGTTCAGTGCATCAAGCCCCAGCAGGCAGAGTTCCCCTCTCCAGTGCTGTCTCATGCAGCTTGGCTAAGAATGCTGTCAGAAAATCTGACAGCTAGAGGTGGGAAAGACTTATTAAATCTCCAGCCTCTGCCAACGGGCTAGTTAGGGGCAGAATGGGTGAGAGAGAGAACATAATGGGTTATGCTATGGGAACTAATTCCACAGCCCTGAAACATCCCTCATCTGCTGTAACTCCTCCAGCCCTTGTTTTGGGTCTTGGTCCCACATTAGCACCTTGGCAGGCTGAGCGATTTGCCTTGGAGAGTTCAGGGGATACAAGGTGGCGGGATGCACAGAGAGGCAGCTGCCTTCACACTCTATCACCTTGAATTGCATGGAACCAGTTGACTTGCAGAGATGCCAGTATTTATTCTTACAGCTGGGCCTAAGCTTTACTACTAAGCTTAGGCCCCCCATGTGGCCCTTGTACCATCTATCTAATGTATTGAACCTTCTCATCTGTGGGGAGTCATCACAACCTCTAAGGCCTAGAAAGCCTGTTGAAGCTTTGTAGGGCCAGAGCAGACACTATCTGTACCGAGTTTGCTTAAATACATTTTAGTAGAAATGGCTGACAAATTCTACAGGGATAGCCCTGATTTTATAAGCTGTAGCAAAGGTGATCACCATGCCACAGACCCTGTGGGGAGAGGAAGAGGGTATCAGCTTCATTTCCTACAACTTTTCTCTTCCAAGAAGTTTGTGTGTTCAGGCCGAGTAGGAAAAATGCCCTAGAAACAGTCTGCTAGTAACCCAGCCAATTCATCTGAACAGCTTCCCTCTGCTTGATATGTGATACTTCGGGGTCTTTGAGCTATAGTGGAGAAGATTTTAGTAAAAGTCTACATCAGTGGCTTTTTTTCCAGACTACTGTACCCCTTTCAGGAGTCTGAGTTATGTTGTGTACCCCCAAATTTCACCTCATTTAAAAACTACTTGCTTATGAAATCAGACATAAAAATACAAAATACAGCACACTATTACTGAAAAATTGCTGACTTTCTCATTTTTACCATATAATTATTAAATAAATCACCTGGAATATAAATACTGTACTTACATTTCAGTGTATAGTTTATAGAGCAGTATAAATAAGTCATTGTATGAAATTTTAGTTTGCACTGACTTCATTAGTGCCGACTTCACTAGCCTGCTGTAAAACTAGGCAAATATCTAGATGAGTTGATGTACTCTTGGCAGACCTCTGTGGACCCCCAGGAGTACCTGTACCCCTGGTTGAGAACCACTGGTCTACATCTTTAGAAAGGATGGGGACATGAGGGTTAACTCCACATTCTGACAAAATTCCCACTCAGGCAACCACAACTGGGTCTCTGTGAAGTGCTGCTGTGTACTGTTAAACAGACATTATGTTCTATTCCAGAGGTGGCTGCATTTCAATGGTGGATGCAGTTCATACCTCCTTTTATAGTTTTGATGCTTCTAGTTTTGGAAAATGCTTTGGGATTGGTCAGGATAAAAATTGCTACATAAGTGTTAGATTACTTTCAGTTTGATTAGTTCCCTGGCTTTAAAAGGGAATTAGCTTTTTCATCTTGTTTTTCCTAACTTCGGACTAATTCCCATTAAACAGGCATTGTTGGGACAGCCAGGGATAGAGGACAGTCATTTAAGTTTCTGACACTATACAAATAATAATAGTTTGAAAATTATCCATTAGCAAATAATTCTGTTTCCGTTTCCAGCCAATAAGAATAGGAGACCGGTAGACTGTAAGCTTTTTGGGGTAGAGACTGTCTTTTTGTTATGTTTCAGAGTAGCAGCTGTGTTAGTCTGTATTCGCAAAAAGAAAAGGAGGACTTGTGGCACCTTAGAGACTAACAAATTTATTTGAGCATAAGCTTTCGTGAGCTACAGCTCACTTCATCGGATGCATTCAGTGGAAAATACAGTGCGGAGATTTATGTACATAGAGAACATGAAACAATGGGTGTTACCATACACACTGTAACCAGAGTGATCACTTAAGGTGAGCTATTACCAGCAGGAGAGCGGATGGGAGGGCTTTTTTAAAGTGACAATCAAGGTGGGCCATTTCTAGCAGTTGACAAGAGCGTCTGAGGCACAGTGTGTGTGTGTGGGGGGGTAAACATGGGGAGATAGTTTTACTTTGTGTAATGACCCATCCACTCCCGGTCTCTATTCAAGCCTAAGTTAATTGCATCCAGTTTGCAAATTAATTCCAATTCAGCAGTCTCTCGTTGGAGTCTGTTTTTGAAGTTTTTTTTTTTTTGAAGAATTGCCACTTTTAGGTCTGTAATCCAGTGACCAGAGAGATTGAAGTGTTCTCCAACTTCAAAAACGGACTCCAACCAGAGACTGCTGAATTGGAATTAATTTGCAAACTGGATACAATTAACTTAGGTTTGAATAGAGACTGGGAGTGGATGGGTCATTACACAAAGTAAAACTATTCCACCCCCCGACCCCCCGCCCGTTCCTCAGACTTTCTTGTCAACTGCTGGAAATGGCCCACCTTGATTATCACTACAAAAGGTTGTGTGTCCCCCCCCCTCGCTCTCCTGCTGGTAATAGCTCACCTTAAGTGATCACTCTGGTTACAGTGTGTATGGTAACACCCATTGTTTCATGTTCTCTATGTACATAAATCTCCGCACTGTATTTTCCACTGAATGCATCCGATGAAGTGAGCTGTAGCTCACGAAAGCTTATGCTCAAATAAATTTTAGTCTCTAAGGTGCCACAAGTCCTCCTTTTCTTTTTGTTATGTGTGGGTACAGGCCCAGCACAAAGGGGCCCTGATCCCTGATTGGGGTCTTTGGGGATTACTGTCATTCATGTAATAAATAATGAGGTGATTGTGTGCAGCACTTTCTGATGTTTTTCTTCTCTGTTGCCATGTCTTTGTTTTATGTCATATGTGTTTGGAGGAAATTGACATATACTAATTTTTCTGACATGATTTTCTCTCTGACTGTCTGAGACCCTGTGAACTGTCACACCAAGAGGAGGCATGTTTATAGGCTGCAGCCTTGCTGCAAAGCATCATATAGGCTACTAGCCGAAAGCTAACGAGACGGGACTCACTCGCTCAGGGGGAAAGTGCCAGATGGGGCAGCACAACTGTGAAAGCAAGCCCTAAAATCCAGAGTACCAATGAGAGGGAACAAACCTCAGAAGGGTAGAATGCATGGGGACAGGTAGATATGAGCTCAGAGAAGGAGCAAGTTCATGGATGATATCGAAAATCCAGAGGGTGATCTGGAATTAGAATCAGAGATGGAAGCCTGTAAAGGGGACAAAGGCTGCAGGGAAGGACAAGAAGGGAGTGTAAAAAATAACCCTCCTTAGCCCACCACAGGAGAGATCATACCAGCTCCAAATTTAACATGGCAGTGCAGGCTGATACTACAGCCCCCCGCATATACCTTGATCCAGGGGGCAGGGGACATTGCATGCTCCGTATGATCACCTTTCCCTACTAGAGATGAGGGGGGCTGCAATTTATTATGTTCCGTGTAAATTCAGTATGGTCCTCTCATTCCTGGCAAGATGCAAAGACAGCCTGCTGGACTGGACAACATTTCAGCCTCAGCTGCTGTTGCTGCAGGGGATGGATCGAGCAGACCCAAAGCCTAGGGCTTGTCTGCATGGGAGATTTGCCCAATTATCAGTATAATTATTAGTGATATAACTAAACCACTCTGGTTATACCAGTATAACTCCCCCATTCAGACACTTTTATTCTGAAATAGACTTCCGCTGAGTTTGAGTGACATAAGGCAAACCAGAAAAAGGCCCTCTGGTAGCAGAATAAGGGTGGCCATCTGGGAAGTAGAACTCCAGTGCTTTAAATTCACACCCCAGCTTATACCAGTATATAACTTCCCCACACAGACAAGCCCTTACTCAGAGGTAAGCAAGGAGATGTTTTGCTGGGAGTTTTGGTGCCATATATCTCTATGCAGTGGGGCAGGGGAACAGTTTCCTCGGCTGTAGCAGTCCAGTTCTCTAGCCTCCCAGGAGCCTGGTTAAACAAACAGGCAAACAAAAGAAACTTCCCATAAGCAGGGCTTTAGACAAAGGGCTCACGAGGCTCCTTCAGCCTGGCCTCTAAATGAACTCTGCAGCAACAAAGCCTTGCCAGCAGCATTGTCGTACCCTTCTCTCCACCCCAGGGTTTTGACTCCTGCTGCCAGCCCCAGCCCTTCCGTGCACAGCCCTCTTATCATGTACTGGTGAAAGGCCTAATTTGCCCAGCCTTGCTTCCCCATGGATCTCTGCACTAAGGCAGCTGTGGCCTGTCCTGAGAGCGTCTTAACCCTCTTCCTGCCAGAGCCTGTGGGAGGTCTATACATCCCTTCACAACAGGAAAGGAAATCATGGGTAGACCTCGATGGTGGGTAGAATAATGGATTTCTTCCTCTCAGAGCAGACAGATTCTTTTTGGGGATTAGGGCAGAGAGTCATTCACAGTGTAAGCCCAAGGAAGCCAGTGGAGTTACCCCAAGGATGGGTTTGACCCCCCAAGTCCCATGAGATCCAGTGTCTGCAGTGTGCAAGGCAGAGGTTCATTCAAACCTTTTTTAGGATTCCAGTTCAATTTTAGTTTATGCTCCCTGAGTTTTTGCTTTGAGTTTCACACCTGGGTAGGGAACAGAGACTGCATCACCATGGATGGTTGATGATGGCCTTCTAGAGCTGCGATAGAAATTCCAGCAGTCTCCATTAGTATCCTTCAGGTAGCTTTCTAGGGTTTTCTCATGGTCTCTCCTAATTCCTACTGGCCTCTATCAGTGTCAGCTGCAGGACAGTGATGGTACCAGCAGAAATCAGAAGACCAGCAGGCTCATTTCTCTGTTTCTATGGCCATCCGGAATCAGTAAATAATTTTAATCTGGAATTTCCATTGGGAAAGGCGAAGGTGTCTGTGCAGCACGGCTGTACTGCCCCCAACCCCACCCCCAGCTCTGTCCTGCGGCGTGACTGTATGGACCACAGACAAGAGATGCAGTCACGCAGACAGCTGCATAGCAGGGATGGGGCGGGGATGGGGGCAGTACGGCCACACGGGAGGAGCTGTCAGCGCTGGCTTCTGGGAGCGGTGGCCCCACATTCTGCACCTTTCGCTGCTGAGGTTCCCGGGAGAGCCCTGCAGTTCCATGGATACCCATTTATATCCGCAGATAACAGATATAACTTTTATCCACGCAGGGCTCTAGTTGTGGAATCTCCTTCACTGGAAGTTTTTGTGAACAGGTTAGTCAGGGCTGGTCTAGAGAATACTGAGTCCTGCCTCAATGCAAGGGACTGGACTAGATGACCTATCAAGGTCCCTTCCAGTCCGACATTTCTATGATATCATCTCCCCCGGGGGCTTTGCATAAACATTGACTGGGAAGGATGGGAGCCAACCAAACCTTAAGGCTGATGGCATCGAATGCTGCTAACTCTGTAACTATGACTGACGCTTTCATGTGCCATGTACACATGGACACAGTGCTCCAGTTCATGTCTTATCAGTGCTGAACAGAGTGGAAGAATTACTTCTTTTGTCTTGCTTACAACACTCTTGCTAATACATCCTAGAATGATGTTTGATTTTTTTGCAACAGTGTTACATTGTTGACACATATTTAGTATCCATTATAATGTATGGATCTGGGGCATTATAATGTTGACACATATAGTGTCCATTATAATGCCCCAGATCCTTTTCTGCAATACCTTTTCCTACGCAGTCGTTTCCTATTTTGTATGTGTGCAATTGATTGTTCCTTCCTAAGTGGAGTACTTTGCATTTGTCCTTATCGTATTTCATTCTGCTTATTTCAGACAATTTCCCCAATTTGTCAAGATCATTTTGAATTTTAATCCTGTCCTCCAAAGCACTTGCAAACCCTCCCATCTTGGTATCATCTGCAAACTTTTTAAGTGTACTCTCTATATTACCATCCAAACCATTTAGGATGATATTGAATAGAACCAGATCCAGGACAGTTCCCAGCAGAACCCCACTCAATATGCCGTTCCAGCTTGTCTATGAACCAGTGATAGATACTCTGAGTACGGTTTTCCAACCAGTTAAGCACTGACTTTATAGTAGGTTTGTCTAGGTTATATCTTCCTAGTTTGTTTATGAGAAGGTCAAGTAAGATAGTATCGAAAGTCGAGATATATCACATCTACTGCTTCCCCCCTGTGCACAGGGCTTGTTACCCTGTCAAAGAAGGATATCAGGTTGGTTTGACAAACCCATGTTGACTGTTACTTATCACCTTATTATCTTCTAGGTGCTTACAAATTGATTGTTTGATTATTTGCTCCGTTATCTTTCTGGGTACAGAAGCTAAGGTGACTGGTCTGTAATTCCCTGGGTTGTCCTTATTCCCAGATGGTGGCTTGGAGTGTAATGTTCTCAGAGACTCGAGGATGCCCAGATCTATGTCTCCCAAGTTCTACGGTCTCACCCCTCTCTTTCTGGGCTGGATTGCACAACCCTTGCTCAGATGGGGGGAGCACTGACTCACACAAGTCAATGGGGCTCATCATGTGGGAAAGGGCTCCCTCACCTCAGTAAGGACAGCCCAATCTGTATCTGACTGTGCTAGGGATCGTCATGAAAATGAACTGTCTGCGGCCTATCCTGACAACCCAGGTGTGGTGCCTGTTGACAGGAAGAAGCATTTAGAGCAGTGGGCTCAGGCTGCATTTGAGGGAGTTTGTCCACACTTTCCACCAAGATGGCTGATGCCCTCAGAGACCTTTTGGATTAATTGCTGCTCCTGGATTGCCGGTTGGAAACAGTGACCCATAAGGTATTTTTCCATCAGCAGTTGGCCAAAAGACTGTCATGCAAACCTCACAATAACTATCCCTGTGTTGGTCACCACACTCCTCTAATACATTCTACTTAGGGCTAGTCTGGGCTCTTTGAAGGCTACAACTAGTGCAGAATGCAGCTGCTTCCCTATTAAATTGGGTGGCCTACACTGAGCACGTGACACCTATGCTCCAAGCACTGCCCTGACTAGCTGTCTGCTTCCAGGGGCATTCAAGGCGTTGTGCTCAGCACTGCAAAACAGAAACTGAAATGTGAAAATCCCCAATGAATAACGGCTCTGTGCAGTGCTAGCTGTGAGCCGTGCTGCCACAAAGTTTGAGGCTGTGTCTGGATTCCAGACTGTTCGGATGCTAATCACCCGGTGTGTGTACAGTGACTCTCACCAGAGGGTCTCGATACACTTTGCAAACATGAAGTAGTTATTATCCCCCTTAAACTGAGCCATTGGGTGGCCTGATTTTAAGGGGTACTGAGCACCCAACCCCCTAACTGAAGTCCACAGGAGCTGTAAGTGTCCTGCTCCTCAGAAACTCAGGCTACTTATTTGGGTGCCTAACTTTAGGAATCCAAGCTGGAACATTTTGACACTGGGGCCAGATTTTCCAAGGAGCCAAGCACCCCCAGCTAGGTACATCCATAGCAAGATATTGAAGTACATGCATGTGTGTGCGTGCATAGGTACTGGAAGTAGGGGTGCTGCTGCATCCCCTGGCTGGAAGAGGTTTCCATCATATACAGGGTTTACAGTTTGGTTCAATGGCTCTCAGCACCCACACGATACAAACTGTTCCAGCATCCCTGCATGTGTGTACGTGCATGCAACAGGGTCCCCCTGGTTACCTCCTGCCTCCTTGGGTAAAGAGCGGCTTCTCTGACTCTTCATTGTCTCCTTCTCTTTGTTCTTCCCGATGTAGACACGTCTCCATCAGACGCGACAAATCTCAACGCCACCAATAGCATTGGGGTGAGCGCGCTGTGCTCCATCTGCGGGGACCGTGCCACGGGGAAGCACTATGGGGCCTCCAGCTGTGATGGCTGCAAAGGCTTCTTCAGGAGGAGCGTCAGGAAGAACCACATGTACTCTTGCAGGTATGAACTGAGGGCACCAGGGCATCGTGCTGTGCGAGGCTCCAGCTGCAGCAGGGCGTGTGCCATAGACAAGAGGGGGAACGAGTCTACCAGGAACTGCACTGAGAATCCCCCAGAATTTGGGGTCACTATTCCCTGTTGTCTCCCTTTACCCCAAATCTCACTGTAATGGCCTGTCCCTCCAGCTGAGGAGGGCTGGACACATCTCCCAGCAGAGCTCCTCACCAGCCTCAAGCCAGGGGTCACTTGAGAATAATAGGGAATGACAGCAAAGCAAGATAGGATGGTTCCTACTGCCGGGGGCTGAGCACCTTGCCTCCACCAAACTCCTAGTCTGAGGGGCAGGCGTGGTGCTGAACTCCCATCCCTCCGTGCGGGGCAGTGCAACAGGCCATTGGGATATTACTCCTGCATCGATCCCAGCAGTCTGGTCTGGGGTAAAATTTCTAAAAGTACTGAAATAATTTTAGAAGCCTAAAGCCTATTTTCAAAAGTGACTTAGGCACTTGGGGAGGGGGGAGTCCAGATTTTTAAAGGGACGTCAGCTGAGCAGAGCTACGCTTAAACTCTCGGCAGCCCTCTTCCTGGTGGAATTTTCAGCCTGGAGTGAGGTAGCTCCATGCCACCTAGGCTCCCTATGGAGTGCGTGGGGATAGTCGAGCAGCTAAGAAAGCAGAAGTTGGCCTGCTGAGCAGGGAGCTGCCTAACCAAGCCAGAAATGAAATGCTGGAGAGAGGAGCAGGACTTAGGGGCCTAAGTGGCTGAGCTGGTGCACCTGGCTGATGGGCCAGAGATAAACACCTCCTTCCGCCTGGGAATCCCAGCTGTGAACCCTCTCCTGGAGTTATGCACCTAAGCCTAGATAGCCTATGGCCTAGCAGCCAGAACCACCTCGCTCTGGCTCCTGTTCACGTTCAATACCTCACTCACTCTCGCCCAGCATATATCTGTGACCCTGGCTGTCTCGTGAGCAGGTGCTGAGCTTCCCTCACCATCTGCAGCCAGCCCTCCTGCTTTAGGGGGTAGCAGGCATCAGGTCTTAGGCATGCTCAGAGCATGTCTATGGGATGGGGCACTGAGTTTGAGAATCCTGCTTTGGGGCCTCTGGGGTTTCCGTTTGAGCTGGGGCTCTGAGCAGCTTGTTAGCTGTGGGGCAGCAGCAGCACTAGGCTACCTTGAAAATGCCGACAAGGAGAAACGTAGACACCGTGGGGGTTTAGGCACCACCTGACCGGCAGCTTTGAAAATGTCAGCGGTGCCCCCATGGCGACTGGAAGCACCTAAATCCTTTTACAAATCTGGCCGTTGGGTGCCTAAGTTTCACTGAAAGACAGTGAGGCCTCAAAGTCCCTTTTGAAAATGGTACCCTAGACCACGGGGAAGCTGGCTGGGGAATGTGCATGGCGGTGTGAATGCAGTACCCGAGGACCAGAGAGGAACCCCAGATGTGTGACAGAGATGTAATCTGAAGTGTAGCTTGGAGCCTAGGGCTAAGCTTTTCAAAACTGGGTGCCTAATATTAGACTCCTGCATCCATACTTAGACGCCTGAATAAGTGGCCTGATTTTCCAAAGGGATGAGCATCCAGCAGCTGTGACTGACTCCAGTGGTCACAGTGACTCTCTCAGTAATTTGGAAAACAAAGCCACTTATTTGGGTGCCTAAACATGGACTTAGAAGGCTACTGCTAGGCACCTATCCTGGAAAATATTGGCTATGGGCTTTAATAGACACAACGAAACCTGCACTCTCAAAAGCTAAACAATTGACATGGCGGGGGCCCTTTGTCCCTACATGCCATATTCACAGGTTTAGTAACCTGACGTGATCAGCCAGCTGAAAACTATATAGCGAGCATGAGACGTGACAATAAAATCTGTACTGCAAACGGCTGTTGACATTGTGCTACACACTAGAGCCATAAACAAGGGAGTGTCATGGATTTGGATATAGCAGTGGGGAAGGAAGAAGTTGCTTTGGTTCTGATCAGTAAATTTTGGGGGTTATACTGGGAGATGATGTCAAGTATCAGGGGGTAGCCGTGTTAGTCTTTAAGGTGCCACTGAACTCGTTTTTGTGGATACAGACTAACAGATTTCTTTGGGCATAAGCTTTTGTGGGTAAAACACCACTTCTTCAGATGCATGGAGTGAAAATTACAGATGCAGGCATTATATATTGACACACGAAGAGAGGGGATTTACTTCACAAGTGGAGAACCAGTGCTGACAGGGCCAATTCGATCAGGGTGGATGTAGTCCACTCCCAATAATTGATGAGGAGGTGTCAATTCCAGGAGAGGCAAAGCTGCTTCAGTATATAATGCCTGCATCTGTAATTTTCACTCCAGGCATCTGAAGAAGTGGATTTTTACCCACAAAAGCTTATGCCCAAATAAGTCTGTTAGTCTTTAAGGTGCCACCGGACTCCTTGTTGTTTTACTGGGAGATGGGTCTGTTCAGGCTTTAGTGCAGTGTTGTGTGGTGACAAAGAGCAGGAACCTGGGGGTCAGGATGCCTGGATTCTAAGCCCAGCTCTGGGAGGGACTGTGGTGTAGTGCAGTGATTCTCAACATATTCCATACCAGAGCACCCATCCTCCAGGATCTCTCTCCTATCTAGCTGTGTTCTGCTGGGGACCTCCCACTCATTTAGCAGTACAGGGGGGCAGGTTGGTTCTGACTCACCTGTGTGTGACCCTGCTGGAGGTTGTGACCCCCATCTTGATCAACCTTTGTCTAGTGGTTAGAGCAAAGGGCTAGAAGTCAGGACTCCTGGCTCGTATTCCAACCTCTGCCATTACCTTGCTCTGCAACCTTAGGCAGGTTTCTTGGCTCCCACAGAAATGAATGGGAGTTGTGTGTCCGAATTCCTGAATTTCCCTGCACTGCCTTACCTGCGATAATTCTTCCTCCATTCCTGGGGGAACTTTTGGTTAATTGAGAGCCTCATATTAAAGCAGCCCTGGAAAGGCCAAGTGTCAGTGTTCTTTCCTCAGGATCGGGGACTCTGCTCTGGTTTTGTGTCTCAGACCACAAGGATCTCTCCTTAGGCTCTAGGCTGTTGCAGCTGCTCATCCCCCTTTCTCCTCCCCAGGTTTAACAGGCAGTGTGTTGTAGATAAGGACAAAAGAAACCAGTGTCGATACTGCAGGCTAAAGAAGTGCTTTCGAGCAGGGATGAAGAAAGAAGGTAGGTCACCACGTGCTCTGTCTGTTCTAATGCCAGCCACTGGTTGGGTGTGACACCAATTACACAGCTGGTTTGGTTGCCTCTACCCTGCCAACCAGACACCTACATACACCTACATACAACTTCACACAAATACATACCAGCCCAATTATGTACACTTCCAGAGATACGCCAAGATGCTACAGACTCCCACCTGCGCACCAACATCTACTTACACTCACAGACATACAAAATATTTACAGGCAGGCACTCCCTCCCTCCCTCCCTCTGACACACACACATACCTTGCACTTGCACACCCAGTGTAGCTGTATATACATGTATAGGACCAATATCGCTGAACCATTTAAAGCTTCATAATGTTGGCAAAAGCGCCAAGCTTCAGAGCCCCAGTTACTTTGGATACCAAGAAGATCGTCACATAATTAAGACCCTGAGTGCATGAAGCACATCAGGTCTGTTCAGTGTGAAATGAGGTGTCTCTCACTTTATATTAATTATTTTTGAGGGGGTTGGGGTTGGCTGCAAGTTCTCTCCCCCTGGAGTATCTGATCATTCTGGAGTCCGGTGATTAGTCACTGGGAATTGAGTAGCCACCAGTGTGTCCCACAGGGCCCAGCAGACTTTTGGCCTTTCCTCATTTGGCCTGTGCCCTAAACTAGAGGATAGGTTACCTAGTTGATTTCCAACTACTTAAGGCCTTCTCTGCAATGGAGAATTGTTTCAGTAGAACACTACAGAGCCTATACCAGCATAACCACCTAGTGTAGACACAGTGTACACCAACAGAAGGAGTTTTGTTGCTTGGGGGTGTGGTTTTTTCACACCCCTGACTGACAGTTATGCCAATATAAGTTTTAAGTTTAAACCAAACCTAAGGTGTGACTTGAAGTGAGCTGTAGCTCACGAAAGCTTATGCTCAAATAAATTGGTTAGTCTCTAAGGTGCCACAAGTACTCCTTTTCTTTTTGCGAATACAGACTAATACGGCTGTTACTCTGAAACCTGAAATAAATCAATATAGTTATACTACTCTAAATCCCTGTGTGGACACTCTTATTCCAGTGTAAAGGGGTCGTCTTTGGTTTAGCTTATGTCACTTGGGAAGCTAAACTGAAAAAGGGTACGTCTGTAGTGGAATAAAAGTATCCACAAAGGGAGTTATATTTGTGTAGCTGTATAATCAGTAAAACTTTCCCGTGTAGACAAGACCTCAGTAGTGTTTTGTATCTGCTTCTTTCTGGGATGAGTCACTAGGCCTTGCTCTGTGGCATTGAACTTTTCTGCTGATGAGGGAACATTTTTGTGTTTCAAAACACTGGCCAACAATTTGTATATCGTGGCAAAGTTAGAAAATTCTTGATCCTCCTTCCCTGTATAAGGATTGGTGCAAAGGGCTATTTTCAATAAAGAGCATTTTTGAATGAATTGCCTGCTATATTTTTTTATCCTGAGGAAGTGCTCGTGGCTTTTATATAAGGAACAAATAACCAGGGATATTTTACACACACAAAGAAATGCCTTTTCACAAGTTTACCAAAAAGCAAAACTTTATTCATTTTTGCTCAAAATTTTCATTAGTATCCAGAGAATTATCCACAGTGTGGGGCATTCTGAGGGACCCAGCAAAAGGCCCATGTACCACTTAACTCGCACTTAATCCCAAGTGGTGCATAGACCTCATGCTGGCCTTCTGCACAGAGATCAGTGTTGCCCTATACACAGGCAATGGCAAAATGTCCACTTCAAAATGGTGCATTTCCACCTTCAAGAAAGACCCTGGTGGAAAGTGCCTATAATTCACCGTCAGTAAAATGTGTGAATGGTCATCAAAATATCCACTGTCAGGTGTGGCTACTCACCACGGCCTTAATTCGCTCCACACACTCCCTGCACAGCTATCTTTGGGACCTCTGCAGTGTTTCCTGCATCTGTAACACAGACAAGATGGGCCGGTCAGTGGCGTAATATCAGAGATGAATTTGGTTCTGCAAATGCACAACTTAAAACCCAGAGTTCTCCTGATTCCAGCTTGTGTCCTCTCTGCCCTCAGCCCGTAGAATAAAGCGACCTTCCAGGATAACAGACTCTTCAAGCTCCTGCAGCCAAAACATGGGCCCTTTGAGAACACCCTAACCCTGCCTTCCATGAGGAACACTTCCTCAGCACTAATAGGGACTAGGCATTGCTAAGAGCTTGCCTTAAGTTTGCCTGAAGGACAGAGGAATCCTCTCTTTTCAGAGCCTACTCATCTTGTGCTCAAAGCTCTGCTTGTGTCTGTTAATATTCAATAGAAGTTACATTAGGTCCATGACCAGCTAATACTGAGCAAACATTTAGAAAACATCTTGGTGTGACTGAACCCAGGGCCCGGCTGCTGATAATGAGCAGCGTAACCTTGAGAGCTCCTATTTACAGCTGCTGACTGCAGGGCTTTTATTTCAGCCGAGCCTAGTTATTGCTTTTTATCAGGCTGAATTATACATTCGGAAAATATAAATCCAGGGAGCCACAAGCATTGTGCAGAGATTTTCATGATACAGTAGATCGATAGCTTCTTCCAGCATATTGCTCGGATGACTGTATCTCTTCCAGCGTAGTTTGCCTACCATGGGTCACAATCGGCATGAGTGCCTTTCAACAGATACGGGAATTAACCCCTTCAGCATTATTGCTCCAACAGCAGCCTGCCGACACCCCTTAGACTCACAGCCTAAGCCCTTCAGAGGAACAAACCAAGGGGGGGGGGGGATGATATAGGACAGAGAAACATTCCTGTCACTGTGACTCTCTTTAGTCTCAGATATTCTGTGTCATACCTAACCGAGAGCTTAGATACACTGCTCAGCTGCACAGTAACTATTTGCAGTAACACCGTCATTGTTTCCTTTATCATTCACGCATACAGGTGGTTCCCCACAGCACTATTGTACATCTCTATGCTGCATCAAGGCAAAGCCATACTGGCCACATTTTTCAGGGCTTCCAAAATTATGTCCACAAAATCTATTTGCACCAGCTTTTGTGTGTACAGAGTGAATAGCTGTGTGTATGACAGCCTGTTGTCACAAGTCACTGGGAGCGGGGGCTGTGAGTGTTAACGAGGTACATGGACATTTTTCATGCATGGCTTAAGAGGTTCCTTTAAAAAACTGGCACTGTAGCATGGGGCCAAGTGAAGACACCCATTTCTGCACTGGGGAGCAGGTCCACTACCCACTGAGGTCATGGGGGGGCTTTCCATTGACCTCAATGAGCACTGGTTCAAGCAAGCCCTTGCACTCTGATATAGCTCAATACCAAGATGTTTTAGGCACCAAGGAGAGCCCAAATGTTGAATTTTGCACTACATTTTGGTCACCAATGTGTGAAAATCAGGCTCCCTGTGTTTAAAACTTGATTCAGCCTCATACTGACCTGCCTCCCACACTGAATAGCTGTGAAACCTTGGCTAAAGAAAGCTGAGGATTTAGTGTGTAAAGGTAACACCAACAGAGAGTGAGGGCGTTTGGTAAACACATTCCTGACTGAGCTTTGGCTGAGCAAAAATACTTCCTTGCAGCTGTACAAAACGAACGTGATCGAATCAGCACCCGGCGATCCAGTTATGAAGACAGCAGCTTGCCTTCCATCAACGTCTTACTGCAGGCAGAAGTCCTTGCACAACAGGTACCCCTTACTTCCTGTTAGCCTACTGCAAAAGCATCAGTGCCAAACGTTCAGCAGCGCCAGGTGAATAACCCATCACTCTTTCTAGGGTTACCACCGGGGGCGGGGTGGGAGGTTGTCACTTAACTGCAGACTGAACACCATTGTTCTCAGATGTGGTTGTTATTTGAAACCATTCGCGGTATAATGGTTGGTCTGAAGCTGATTTGTGAACAGGCTGCTGCACCTACTTGACATTTCAGCAATTTTGACCGGACACAAAAGGCCACATCTTCAGCTGATGTGAGCTGGTGTAGCGTCACTGAAGTCAATGGAACCATGCTGACTTACACTCAATCAGATTAATAGGCAGCAGATTTAAAATAAATAGAAGGAAGCACTTCACACAAGGCACTGTCAACCTGTGGAACTCTTGCCAGGGGATGTTGTGCAAGCCAAAAATATAACTGAGTTCAAAAAACAATTAGAGAAGTTCATGGAAGATAGCTCCATCAGTGGCTATTAGTCAAGATTGTCAGGGACGCAACCCCATGCTCAACTGTCCATACCTCCAACTGCGAGAAGCTAGGCCTGGACCAAAGGGGAAGGATCATTCAAAACTGCCCTATTCTGTTCATGCCCTCTGAAGTATCTGGCCACTGTCAGACACAGACTACTGGGTTAGATGGTCTGACCCAGTATGGCCATTCGTATATTCTTACACCATCTGGCCTGTAGGTCATATGGTATGTTTCTATTCCCTGTTTAGACAAGAATAAATCTTGGAATCAGGCTTCCGGTGCAAATAGTTGTGATTTATGAATTCAAGGTTTGCTTTATGCAAATATTTTTGCCAATGTTTGCTTAAAATTCTCTGTTTCTGTAAACATTCCTGCCAGGACACTCATTTGCTAGAATATTCACAGAAAGGGGCCCAGGAAGAGGAAGCAAATTTGTTTAAGAATTTGAATGAATAGCCACAGGCTTAAAAAAATTGACTTTGTCTGGGAAGAACTGAGCCCCAGAATTCCAAGAAAGGCAAACACTAGGGATGTTCTTATCAGGCCTCCAGGTCAGAAAGCATTTCAAACAATCTCCTCGCCATCAGACAACCTGAATCTAAAGCACTGGCAATATCCAGCTGTGCAGCCTTAAATCCAGTGACATAATGCAAAAAAGTCATTCAAACCATGACCACTACAATGCAAGAAAGGTCATCTTGCAAGACCATGCATCACCCAGCCCATCTCAGACCTGTTTGCCTTAAGCACACTTCCTGCCCTCTCTGCTCTGCCAATGATGCCAACCTCAATCCATCCAGGGTCTTTATCTCCTTTGATAGGCATCACCACGTCTTGTGCCATGTTGCTGCTTATACTTGAAATGATCTTCCCAAATCTCCAAGCCAAACCACCTCCCTCACCTCATTCAAATCTCTCCTAAGAAGGACCGGAGGGAGGATAGGTAAGAAAGGAGAAAGAGGGAAGTTAACAGAAGCATTAAGGCATTTCCAAGCACAGCAGGGTGACAATTTTTGTCCAAAGCTTTTTTGGCTGATAAATGCAGATTTGGGGTATTGAAATATTTCATACATTTGTGTCAAATTTGCCATATGGTTTCAGTCAAACCAACAAACAAAACCAATCCTGCCAAAAAAAAAAAAATTCTGAAAAAATTGAAATTTTATTTCAATTTTTAAAATTTGAAATGACTTTTTGTTTTGAAATGTATTTCAATTTCATTTAAAACACATATAAAAACTTTGTAAAAGCTTTAAAATGAACAAAATGTTTAATTTGACCTGAAACTATTTTTTTCCTTACTTTTTGGGTTACCATAAATTTTGAAAACTTTTTGTTTCAGGACAGTTTGAAACAGTGTTTTGTTTTGCTTTTCGGAACGGCCAGCAAACCGGAAAAATCACATTAATTTACACAGCTCCATGTCCAAGCTCTAGGGCTTGATCCTGGGAAGTGCTGAGCATTCCTGTCTTCAAAGGGAGTTGAGGGCATTCAGGATCCCAAAGGAGTGCTCAGTAGCCTACAGGATCGAGGCCTAGTGGGTAACCATGTGATCTTTTTAATTGTCCCCCTTGTCCTTCCTTTCCCCTTCCACCACCTCCTTTCTGGTGCTACTCTCAGCGGTGCATTGGGTAGAATGTCTGGCCAAGATTTTCTAAAGCCACTAGTGATTTGGGGTGTCTCTGTCTCAGCTTCCGGGTGCCCAACAGGAGCCGATTTTCAGAGTCGGGTGCCCAATTGATTTTTCTCAGCATAAAACCAACACTCTCCAAATCATGAGTCATTTCTGAAAATCTTGGCTCATGTCTTAGCTCATTCTGCGAGGCTCCTAGCACATTTATGGGCCCTGTAAAGATAACATCGCACTGTGCTGCAAGGTGAGATAAGGGTCCTCTTGCCACGAGGCTTGCAAGGGAAGAGCATTTTACAATGAGACTGGATGTTCTGAAGCAGCATGATCCTCTGTTGAGTCAGGTCTGCCGATAAAGCCAGCAGCCCTGAAGAAACTCATCGAGGCTATTCCATTCCAGCAGAGCACACGCAGACTCATTAAACACTGGGGACCCTAGCATGCTAATCGGTAACTTATATATGCCTGGCTAATTAGAACAAGATACTGCTGAGGAGCCGCTTTCTCTGGGATCTCAGGTCACTCACCCAGAGGTCTGTGTTTATTTGCTAAGCCTTCCCAGCTCCCTGATTAGGGTAATACTTGGTGAGATTTTTACAATCTTATTTATTCAATAACAGCTCTAGAGCTGGAGAGGTTCCAAGAAATGCAACCTGGGGAAAATGCTGGTGCCTTTCAAACCAGTGAGGCCGTGAAAGAGGGAACCAGGTCTGAGGTGAAAGTGCTGGAATGCACAGGACAGGAAGCGCTGATGCTGTCCGGGATTCCAGAGGGCAGAAGGAAGAGAGTGGTGGGTCTGGTTAATCACTCACAAAGTCATAAGGGAAAACTGGTGATTAAAGCCAGATTTTGAAACAAGCTGAGTATGCAACTGTGCATGCAACATGTGCACGCACTTGCGCATCTGATTGGCATGGAAGTTTGCTGCACTTTTGCATGCAAATAGGGTCCCTGCACATGAAGAAGTGCCAGATCAGACATTTGCAAGTGAAATGGCACCATTTGCCTTTGCATTAACAGTAATTCTGCATGCAAATTGGACACACAGTGTATTTTCGTGGGCATATTTGCACATGTACAGTTTGGCAAAATGTTTCTGACTTTAAACTGGGGCTTCAGCATTTCAAATGGGGATTTTAAATTTAAATGTTCTGATCTCACTTAAGCCAGCTTTACCGCTGGGTAACTGACCTCAGTGGAGAGACTCCTGATTTATTTCAGCATGAGTAAGAGGAGAATCAGGTGCTATGTTCAATACATTAATGAAAAAACCTCAGCAAAGGTAGTGATGGCTCTGTTTGGTTGGGAGCAGGGTATGGCTGGCATGGCAGGTAGGGTAGTTCTCTGAACCCTCGCTCGTGAGGAGAAGTTTTTTCTCTAGCACCAGCACTAGCCTTGATGAGCCTCTGCTGAAGGGAAACTGGGTTTATATCAGTGACCATGCCAGAGAAAGAAGGAATGACAGCTTCGTGTATAGGCCACATTGGGCTCTGCTGTAAATCCATCAAAACCTGACTTACTCAATGGGAGGAAGAACTCTTGACACTGGACGTGTTTCTCACATGCTTTACAGACCACTCAAGTCTGGTCAGGGAACGACATTTTGATAATGGGGGTATCTGGGCTTTGCCTCTGTTTGTCATTCCCTTCCTCCTGCGATAAAGAAAGAAAGCGAATCTCGATCCAACTCCTAAGTTTCAGGGGGGCATATGTACTGATCCAAGCTCCCCGTTCAGGCCTATCTTAGAGATAGATCAGTTGCTAGTACGGAGCATCATTCCTGACGTCTCAGCTATACATAAGAGGAAAAAGCTCCTGACTCCATTGATATCTGCCTGCCTTTTGATCTGTTCTTTGATTAATCTCTGTAGAGCCACAAACCTACATGGAGTGTCAGAGAAGGCAGAAAAGATGCTGCCCCCACCTTTCATGGGTCTTCCCAGCTTCTGGGACTTTCATATCTCTGGCTCTTGCAGCTCTGAAATAGGAAGATCCTACATGGGTCCCTTCTCATCCTTGCAGATATCATCCCCAATTTCTGTGATCAACGGAGACATCCGAGGGAAGAAGATTGCGAACATAACAGATGTGTGTGAATCCATGAAGCAGCAGTTGCTGGTGCTGGTGGAGTGGGCCAAGTACATCCCGGCCTTCTGTGAGCTTCCCTTAGATGATCAGGTTAGTGCTGCCATTTGACTTCCCCTGGCTCTTTCCAGTGGAAATTAATCTGTGGCCAAGAGGAATGGCCCGATCTGCAAAGAAGTTGTACATTGTTTATGCAATTATCATGACTGCACAAGCAGCTCAGATAACTGCACGCATACAATACTAGCACTGGCCATTTGCATGTGCAGTTAAGCAGACTGTTTGCACAATGGCTGTAACAATGTGCTCAGCTAGACAAATAATCATGCACACATTTTGCAAACAAAATTTTGCATGGGCAGATGGTTGGTGAATCATTGGTTAATGCTACTGCAGCACTTTGAAAACCTAAAGCACTATACAAATGCTCAGGATAATTAGACTGATTAGGTACTGTATATTGGCCTAACTTTTGAAGGCCTTTCTGTTGCCTAAAATTAAAAAAATCTATCTTTAATTCATTCACCGGGCCTGTGGTTTCATGGTGTCAGTGGTAACTGTTATTGATAGTGATTTATAAATTATAATAAAAATGCGTCTAAGCTCCCAAACCAACAGCAGCATCTCTGCAGACTGAAAAGTTGCAAATATATTTGTATTTAAAGCAAGATATTAAAGTAGCTTACTTACCAAGACCAGGATAGAGGGCTCTGCATTCCCTTTGTAAGAACTGAACCATAAGATCTAAGGGTATGTCTACCCTGCCGGCAGAGTATGATTTCAGACATACCCTCGCTAGCTTTAATCTAGCTAGCTCAGATCCGTGGCAGCCCGGGCTTCAGCACAGGCCGGCCACTCAAGTAAGAACGCAGGGTTCCAAGAAGGCTTGCATACTGCTATTAGTCCCCCCACTAGCTAGATTGAAGCTATCTTTGGCATGTCTACACAAGCTGCAATCATACTTTAGACATGCCCTAAAGCAGCCACAGTGGCACAAGGAAATGCTCAGTGTTAAGGGCTACATTTCAAAGTTGCGTGCAACTGCTGAAGTGGTGAAAATGCACAAATACCTATGTATAGGTACTCTTCCTCAAAATTCACACACATGAAAGTGGGGGTATGCAGGGAAAACTAGTGAGAGTCCATTTCTGAGGAGGGCTCACAGTGCCTGTGATGGGGCAGGAGGATGTTTCCAAGTTAATTGTTTTTTGTTCACAAACTTAAAAAGGGTCATTTTCATTCAGGATCAGGGACCAGTCCAATGACCTCCGGATCGGGAGGTAGTTTTTACCGAATAAGAAGATTAGGATATTTAGAAAGTGAGAGTGCCCAGCTAGTCAAGAAAATCCACAGTCATCTCACAATGCAGATCACTGGGAAGTCTGCATATTTTACAGCCTTTAGGAATGCTCCCATCTCTGTCCATTTGGGTGCTAGCTTTGAATTATTTACAGTGATAAACAGCATGCTAAATTCCTAAAGCAAATTCACTTAGAAATCACAAAAAAAAAAATGGTGTCCAACGGCAAATTATATTTACCTAGCAAACAGGCTGCAGCATATAGAGGACTAGATGCAGCTATTGTTCTATGAAGTCTTTCACTGCCACTTGCAATGGATGTTGTAAAACCCAGTTAATGCTTTGTAGGATCTACAGCAGTTTGCACATGGACCGTCCTCACCAAGTGTCTTTGGCTCAGTCACGGGAATTTTTTAGAAAGGAAATAACCAAGGAGCAGATTGCCTGCCACACTGAAGAGAGGTTTTTCACATGCCCCCTGCCCCAGTGTGACTCCTGGTCTGAGTAATTGCTCGTCAGTGTGAGTAAGGGGCTCACAGTCTGGCCCAATATGTCAGGGAAGAATCCAGGAGGAAAACATTAGATTTTTTTTTCTGAAATGCAGATTAAAAAACAAACCCATAACTAGACCCACATTTTCAAAGGAAGATGAACCACATGACAGTGTGGGAGCCACTACAAAAACATGGCAGCAAAAATGTGTGTGAGTCCCTGAGCTGGCTGCATGGGAGACAATAGAGAAGTTTTCCATCAGAAAATGCAGTTTTGTGGAAATCAAAATGTATTGTGAAAACGTCAGTTTCAGTGAAACTTGCCACAGAAAGATGTCAAAACAAATGAATGTTGAAACACTTTGTTCTGATAAGATAAAATACTTCATTTCAGCTTTCTCATTTTTGATTCATTTTGTTTAGACTTTTATATTCAATTAAAATATTAATCTTAATATTACATTGGTATATGTTATATATAATATTTTAATCAAATATAAAGTCACAATGAATCAACAATATCAAAACAAAACATTTCAACATTAACAACATAATTCAAAGTTATTGAAACAAAATGTTTCGATAGTTGTGAATCAAAACATTTTGGCATTTTCATTTCACAGGAAATTGTGAAACTTCAGCTTTTCGTTCTGATTCAGAACTATTTATTTTTTAAGTTCAGAATTCCCTGAGGAATGACAGGATCCAGTTTTGACCAGCTCCAGTACACACAGATAGCTGTAGTTACACAACAAACTGGGCGACTGCACACATCTGGCCATCTGCACATGCACTTCACATTGTGTTGCACAAATGGGGATTTCACAACACCTTGAAGCATTCACCCTTTTTGAAGAAGTCCCTGTTCTATTTATTTGCATAATACCTTTGTCCCCTCAAGTGTCAGCATCTTTTCTAATCAGAGCTTTGTTCTAGCCCATTTGCATTCTCTTGACACTTATGGTAGAGTGAGGTTTTCCCTGGCTTCATCTGGTACTGAAAGATAACACCCTGGAAAACTGATATGTTCCTGCTCCGTTGCTTCATTCTCCTTTTCTCCCTCTGTTTGTTAAACACATAGAACATAGGCTGGACCATCCTCATTAGGACACACTTTTCCAAGTCTCTCCATTAATGTTTAATAGTTGTTTTCTTCGGCCAACATCCCTGGCTGGCTATTAAGAAGCAGCTTGGCCACATTGTCCAATAGTTAACCTTTATTTCTACCAAAGCTTTGAAATTGTTAACAGAAGTGGGGCGAAAGATCCGGGACATTCTCAGGAACCACTGAGGGGTGTAACATGAAGAACGTCAATTATTAACATCAGGGCAGAAAAACATCTCTGTGCCTTCATTGGTCTAAACGGTCCATTGCCACTGGGGGAGCAAATGACCAGAAGATGACCCCACCCACTGGTGGGACATAGCACATGGCATGGTGACCCCACCCCTGGTGGGATGTAGTGCGTGACACGGTGACCGCCCTCTTGGTGGGATGTAAGGCATGAGATGGTGACCCCACTCCTGGTGGGATGTAGCGTGTGAGATTGTGACCCCTCTCAGTGGTGGGACAAACGGGGGACATGGAAATGATCCTACTCAGTGTCATGAGGTAGAATGTGAAATGGAGACCGCCCTCTCCCCTGGCATGAATGCATTATGCAGGAGTGACCCCTGCTCCCCCAGCTCTCTAGCATGGCACGTATCATGCAGGAGTCACTCTGCCTCTCTGGTGTGAGTGTCCAATTCTTTTCCAGTCAATGTGATATTATTGGTGTGACAGGTTCTGTGAGAAAAAGACAGACATCTCAGGTGTCTGTCAGAGGCAGGAAGCCCCCCACCAGGCTGGGTCACAGACTCTTTGGGGTTTGATCCCTGCTTTTCTCGACTAGCCGTTCCTGAGCCAGTGGCTGGCTGCTCTGTGGGATGATGCCATCTCTCTCTTTTCTCCCAGGGTCAGTCACAGTTTCTCCTAATCACTTCTTGCCCTTCCTTATACTTGGGACACTGGAGCAGGAAGTGTGTGTGTCTCTCTCAGTCTCTGCTGCCATTCTGGGTGCACAGTTGCTTCTCAGACTGGGCTTTGTGCCTCCCAATTTCCACCTCTTGTGTGTGATCAGCAGTTGTGAGAGTCGGCCTTAGTGCTGCACAGTGAGGTGGGTGAGAATTCTGTGCAGGGATCTGGACCAGTCCAGCTTGCTGCTCGCTTTGATTTGTTCTTCCCAGTGGCTCGTAATTGGGTGTTTCAGATGCTGGGCTAGTATCTTGAGCATCTTTTGGTTTAGATTGTTGGCTCCCTGGCCAAGGGGTTGGAGGTGCTGCACCTGAGGAGCAGTGAGATGGAGGAGTACATTGTGTTTGAACCCTCACATATAACAGGAGTGAGGACCCCACTCCTCTGCCCTGATGTGCGCAATGCAGGAGTGGGCACTTTCTCTACATTCTACTTATGTGGAATCAAAGCACTTGCCCCCCTTTTCCCAGTCACCCGGATAATACGTCTCTGTCCTTGCAGGTGGCACTGCTGAGGGCACATGCAGGAGAACACCTGCTCCTGGGAGCTGCTAAGAGGTCCATGGTGTTCAAAGACATCTTGCTATTAGGTAAACCACTTCTCCTCTATGCCAGGATGCTGCTGCTTCCTCTAGTAAAGCAGATACACTCACACAGGAGCATCCTATTTGTGGATTGGAAGGGGATGGGCATTTTGTTTTGTCCTGTGTCATTTTTGCTGAATGGCGCGTTGGGTCGGAATTCTCATGTATCCAGGGAACCCAGCATTGCCCTGGGGTTTGGTTGGTGTGTCAGATCTAAGGGCTCGGTTCACATTTCCACCATAAAGCTCCATTACAGTGCTCCAGCAGGGTAGAGGGGTCTACAGGTCATTGACCCCCCCCCATTAAGATCCCATCACGCTGCCAGAGAGGTGAAAAGAGGCCTTAGCGTAAGTGAGAAGCAAAGCCTCCATCTTCATTCAGCTTTTCCTTGTTGCAATGATCTTCCTTTGCCCAGTAATAGAGTGAGAAGAGGCTGCTTGAATAACATAGGTCAGCATTTATGGCCAGCACATCCCTTCTGCTACAGGAGAGGAAGGCAGTGGATGTATATAGAGTCAGGCCCATTTGCTGCTTGGTGATGAGTGGAAGAGGAAACTTCACTTGTCCCAGGTAGGTTTACTCCTGTTCTGAGATAGAAAAAAGCCCAGTTGCTAAAGCCCAGGCCTGTTGTGCTCATTAGGAAACCACTAGCATGTTGCAGCATCCTGTCCCAAAGTAATGATACCTGTCCCATGCATGGCCTACCCATGGGGAGCAGCTTTGTGATGTCCTTGAAGTCTACAAACGATCCTGCGTGCTTGTTGATTCAGGAGGCCAGAGTCATGTGTCTCCACTTACACTCACACCCACATACCACACTTAATTCCAGTCTTGGTCATGTGAGGTGAGGAGTGAATGTGTGAACCCCTGGTCAGCATTGTAAGTCTTGGTGGATGTAGTAAAGTCTGAGGCGCTCAGGTGCCTCTTTGTTCCTGGTTTGATCATGAGCAGCTGGTGATATAGTTCTATTGTGTTCCTAAAGGAAATGACCACATAATCCCCCGGAACTGCCCTGAGCTGGTGGAGGTGATCCGTGTGGCCGTCCGAATCCTCGATGAGCTGGTCCTGCCATTCCAGGAGCTGCAGATTGATGACAATGAATATGCCTGCTTGAAAGCCATCATCTTTTTTGACCCAGGTAGGCCCAAACCTTCAACAATTAATCACCGGAAAAGATCTCTTCTTACAAAACCCAGAGTAGCAACCACACAAGAGCTTCGCCCTGCTCTCACATTAGCCAGTGCCCCAGCAATTTGGTACAGTGTTGGTGGGATGGACCTGGTTTCTCAAGGTGGTTTCCTCAGCGATTTCAGAGCCCCTACAGATCCCCAAATCCCTTCTGGGACCCTGTGGTTCCTTGCAGGGTGCTGGCATTTGGATACAGTGAGATAGTGCTGGGCCTATTATGACAGAGGAATTTGACCCCCTGAATACAGTTAAAAAGGCAGCGGCCCTGGCGGTCAAGACAATGGGATTGTTACTAGCAGAGCTTGGAGCTCTGGGAAGGTGCTGGTTCCACAGTGTTCCTGTGGGGTCAATGGCCAGACTACATCCCTAGCTTCCTTCATTTGTAGACTTTTACTATACAGGGCTTCTTGGTGCAAAATGCAACATATACTGGTGAAGCTAATTCCTGGCTGATGGTGGAGTTGGTGCCTATGCAGCCCGTGTGCTTTGTGTTTGAGACCCCTGGTCTAGATAATACTTAGTCCTGCCATGAATGCAGAGGACTGGACTAGATGACCTCTGGAGGTCCCTTCCAGGCCTATGATTCTATGATTCTCCAGGATGGTATTGTCACTTTGTGCTCCTCAGGTGGCACAAAGAGACTAGATCCAGGCCTTAAATAGTCAGCAGAGAATTCCCCTTGTGGAAGGGACCTCTCTTCTCATCTAAACCTGGAGAATGGGGCTCCTATGCCAGCTCACCCCCTCCTCATTCATGGCAGGGGCCTGCCAGGTAAGGAAGGGGACATGTCAAGGCAGGCCTGGAGGTGACAGAGTAGAGTTGTGCTACACTGAACCTCTGTTGGTGATACGTGCATTAGGGACCTTACACTGGTGGTGTTAGTTAGCACAGTCCTTAGGCAGCGCCTATGGATGCTGGGGCAAGGTTGGTGCAGAACAACGGAGGCATAACTGGCTTATGGATGGCTCCCGCCTCTGTGGCAAGCCAAGTTTGGATGCAGGGGAGAACTCAGCCCTAGAAAAAGAACCACGAATGTCTATAAAACCAGATTGCAGGGAGCCAGAAAGACAACCCAGGCCAGGCTGAGCCCACGACTAGTGGCACTGGAGGGGGCTCTCCCTTGGGGAAACAGCCCTCCATTTTTTGTTCCATGGTTTGTTTCAGATGCCAAAGGGCTGAGCGACCCCACCAAGATCAAGCGGATGCGGTACCAGGTGCAGGTCAGCCTGGAGGATTACATCAACGACCGGCAGTATGACTCACGGGGCCGCTTTGGCGAGCTGCTGCTCCTGCTGCCCACCCTGCAGAGCATCACCTGGCAGATGATTGAGCAGATTCAGTTTGTCAAACTCTTTGGCATGGCCAAGATTGACAACCTGCTGCAGGAGATGCTGCTAGGGGGTGAGTATCTGTGCTCAGCCTCTGTAACCCTAATCCTCAGCACAACCTCATCACCCTCTCGTCACTGGGAGGGAAAGAGCTGGGATCAGAATGGGGAGTGTCCTTGATTCCCAGTCCTGTGCTCAGACCTCCTGATGCAGGGAGCTGAGCACATCAACCCAAGGAGATCATCTATCTTCATTCAGAAGCTACAGCTTGTGAGAGATGTAATTAATTCCCTCCCCCTGCAGCTTGCATTGTGTTTCGTGTACCATGTGCTGGGTAATAACAGGAGAGCACTGTGCTCTTATTACACAAAACTGGCTGTTTCTGCTGTAGGCGCCGATTCCGTGGGTACTCCAGGGCTGGAGAATCCATGGGAAAAAAGTAGTGGGTGCTCAGCACCCCCCGGCGGCCCCACTGACCAGCTCTTCTCCCTCGCCCCAGTGCCTCCCGCCCACCGGTGATCAGCTGTTTAGCGACGTGCAGGAGGAGCAGGGGGGCAGGAAGAGGCAGAGCAAGGGTGGGGCACGCTCAGGGGAGGGGGCAGAATAGGGTGGGAAGAGGCAGGGTGGGGTGGAGCCTTGGGGGAAAGGGTGGAGTGGGGGCGGGGCCTGGGGCGGAGTGGGGATCAAGCATTCCCGGGGAAACCAGGAAGTTGACGCCTCTGGTTTATGCAGCTATTTACAGAGCTTCAGGTTAGTATTCCTAGCCATGAGCACACAGACTGACTTCCTTGTGCCTCCTCCAAACCCTTTCCTCCTGCAACCTGTGCTCCTCCCAGGTTCCATGCAGGTTGCTACATGGTGCAAAGGTGCTGCTTCCCAACAGAAGCAGCTGCTATAGGGATGACAAGCTGCCCTTCTGTCCTTACATCACCCCCATGCACATTGAGAGGATGCATCTCCCAAAAGACAGTCAGCTACTTACCCATGTCCTGTTTCCCCCTAAGAGAGTCATGAGAGCAATACGTGCACTAAAGGGCAATGGAAAGGTTTGGTAAAGCATGGCCCAGCTTTACCACTAGCTGCTGAAAGCTCAGATAACCTCCTGTGATGTATGCAGTGGAGCAGCAGTTTGCCCCTGTGCTGCTCCTGCACTTAGCTCTTCCCCTGAAGCCCAAGAGGAGAGGAGAGTGACACTGCAGCCGGTGTTGCTGTGGCAGAGGTGTGGTCTCAGTGGAAGACAGGGAGGGAGCGTGTCCTGATCATTTGCACAATAGTGCACCTGGAACTCCTGGCCTGGCTGTGAACATTTGGCCCTCCCGGGCTATGCTCTTTTGGACTGTCGAGTGCTTTCCCCTTCCGTCCTGCTCATGATGACTGACACTGAAATGGTTCTAGGCTCGTCAAGTGAAACGCCTCATGCTCACCACCCTCTGCACCCGCATCTGATCCAGGAGAATCTGGGGACGAACGTCATAGTAGCGAACACGATGCCCGCTCAGATGCACAATGGGCAGATGTGTAAGTATCCCTAGCAGGACTGACAGCTGCCAAAACAGACCTTGTTTGTTTGGAATAAAGCTAAATGAAATGAGTAAGAAGTGTAAGAATCAGGCTGGCATTCCAGTGACATCCCTGAGCCTCAAGGGCCACCCCAGCATATTCTATACTGCAAAGCCACAGTGATGCAAGATGGGTATTATGGTGCTAGAAACTCCTCTGCAGAAAGACACACAGGGGGGCGGGGACGTTAGAGGAGATTAGATTGAATGCTTGATTCAACTGAACACTCCCTAGCAGATTGTAGTTTTTACAGTAGCTCTAATTTGGGGACAAATGCTCCAATCCAATGCATGACTCCTGAGTGCTGATTAGATCAGGCCCTGAAAGACTAGCCTGGTATGTCTGGGGGAAAACCACTAAAACTTCTGTTAATGTTTTCCCTGTCTTGGCCTCCCCATTGTCTTTCTGTCCAAAGAACCCAGCATGAGGGGGTTGATCACTAGGGTATCACGCTTGGCCACAGCACAAAGCTAGATCTCGGAGATGACATTCAAACGCAACCTACCAGTCAGGTTGCCAGCTGTCGAATGGCACAAACCCAAACATCCTTGCCCTGCCCTATTCCCCACCCCTTCCCCAAGGCCCCACCCCTGCCGTGCCCCTTCTCCGAGGCCCGCCCCCACTCACTCCATCCCCCATCCCTCCCTCACCCTCACTCACTTTCACCGGGGTGGGGCAGGGGGTTGAGATGCGGGAGGGGGTGCAGCCTCTGGGCTGGGAGGGTGGGGCCAAGGGGTTAAGAGTGTAGGAGGTGGCTACAGGCTGAGCCTCAGGCAGGGGGTTGGGGTGCAGGAGGGGGTGCGGGCTCTGGGAGGGAGTTTGGGTGCGGGAGGGGACTCTGGACTGAGCCTGGGGCAGGGGGTTGGGGTGCAGGGGCTCTGGAAGAGAGTTTGGGTGCAGGAGGGGGTGTGGGCTCTGGGAGGGCGCTTGGGTGCAGGAGAGGGTGAGGGGTCGGGCTCTAGGAGGCAGTTTGGGTGCGGACTCTGGGCTGAGGCAGAGGGTTGGGGTGCAGGAGGTGGTCAGGGGCGCGGCGCTTACCTCGGGTGACTCCCGAAAGCGACTGGCACATCCTTCCAACAGCGGCTTCTAGGTGGGGGGTGGGCAGGGGGTCCCCGCACGCTGCCCCTGCCCACAGGCACCGCCCCCACAGCTCCCATTGGCCGCCGTTCCCAGCCAATGGGAGCTGTGGAATCACTGCTCAGGGCGGGGGCAGCGTGCGGAGCCCCACCTGCCTCCCCCAGGAGCCACAGCGACAGTGCCAACCACTTCCGGGAGTGGCACAGGGCCAGGGCCACAGTAGGCAGGGAACCTGCCTTAGCCCCACTGCTGCGCTGGACCTTTAACAGCTAAAATCTCCCGGTTTGGCTGCAGTAGACTCCAGGAGATAGAGCGTTATTCCGGGAGACTCCCAGTGAAACCAGGAGGGTTAGCAACCCTACCTACCAGGTGAATCTTCAGTACAGAATAAAAGGCAGGCACAGAACCCCTGATCCTGTGCTTCTTGCGGCTGTCTGCACTGGAGACTGTAGTGCAGCCTAAACAGCAGCATGTGTATAGCCCACTGGAAACCATGTTTTCATTTAAGAGCAGTTGGCCTCTCTTTTGCATCTGTAACCCTTGTGCCAGGACTAGAAGGATCCAACCATACCCAGATCCTTAGCCCTCCCCCAAACTCTGGGGTATATGGAATTGGGATCCAGATCCGAATGTTGCATCTTGAATCCTCATAGCACGGTAGCATCTGCTCCTTCTGCCTTTGTAACATAGTGTTTCTTTCTGCAGCCACTCCGGAAACACCTCAGCCTTCCCCCCCTGCAGGCTCAGGATCTGAGCAATACAAACTACTCCCTGGGGCCATCGCTACTGTAGCAAAACAGCCAGCCTCAATCCCACAACCCACCATCACAAAACAAGAAGTCATCTAGCATCTCCCAGAAGGAAACCAGCCTGTTTTAGAAAGACTGTATAGAGGAAAACAGACTGACTGTCCCAGTGAAGACGGACGCTATCGGTGGATTCACAGGCACAAACGCATCGGCTTGTTTATTGGAATAAAACCAAAGGCTGTCTTTGTGCAGCTAGGGAGAGCACATGCCATGGTCCAGCTGAGAGTTACATATCTGGGAGTTAAACATAGTGAAATCATTAGTCCTAATATGAAGGGCCAGAACCGAAACTCATGCCGGCTGGTGACTCTTTTGAGATTTGCATTGACTGGCTGTGAGGTTGCGCCTGGCCATTTCTTTACTGCCTCGGAGTGGGTTCAAAGCAAACCAGACACTACTGAAAAGAAAGGACTTGTCTAATACAGACGTTGAATTTGAAGGAAGGGCGGAGATGTCTGCTGCTGTCTTTAACGCTTCTCAGAATAGTCCCAAGTTTCAGCCGATGTTAAATTCTCTGGAACGCATCATTCCGGGGGTGGGGGTATCATAACCCCTTGTGATAATATTTAGCCAAAGTCTGGTCCACATGGTGAGTGAGTTGGGCTGGGAAATCACTGGTGCTTCTGGATTCCCTGCCATTTCAGACTTTCCGTATGTTGGGGTGCTGCTGGGGTTCCTTATCCCAGCACCATTATTCCCTCCCCATGGCAGAAACTGAAGGAGGCAAAGACAGCAAATTCTTCTACTACGCTACCACGGCATCTTTGCTAATTGCAATGGAATGATGTTGGAGTTGTGGGATTCAGCTAATGGGCTTGGGAAGTACAGAGATGGGGGGAGGGGCGGGACGATATTCACTCAGCACCCTGAAATACTGCACAGATCTCACTAGGATGATTGCTGGGATCCTGTGCATGTCTGTGCCTCCTAGTGGTACTCACACAGGTTAACGATAAGCAAAAGCTTATCTGCAGCCTGTTCATGGGAGATTATTGTGGGAGGAGGCATGAAGGGGAGTGGGGAGGATTCAGAGGTAGACAGATGAGAGATGGACCCAAGACACAAAGGTTAGACCAGAACCTCATGTTCCTCAAGGCTTGGGAGTAGCTGGACCCAGCGGCTTGGTCCAGGCCCATCTTTAATCCCAAATGATGAATTAGAGCCAGGGCTGGTGCCATGTGGACTTCTCCTACAGAACAGTACAACTGGTTGATCACAGATTTATAGGGTTTTATATCATGACAGAGATTAGTCGTGACAGTGCAAAAGATACAGACTGTCAAAGCATGAAGACGATTAGAAAACCAGGGAACCTCAAACTCTGCTGTGAAGTTCTCAAGGGGTCAGGGAGAGACGTTTTATTATGTCCCATCTAGCCCATGGCCTGTACCCTCGCCATAGAAGCTCCTGGGTTTTACTTTGCTTGTGTTTTTTTTTTTGCTCACTGAAGCCTATTGGTGCTATTCCCTGCAGCTCCCCCCACCACAGGGAAAGAAGGCCATGAAGCTAGCGATTTCTCTCTCCCTAAGAACTGAAATCACCTCCTGGGGAAATACTAGCTTTTCCTTATCACACACTGTATTTCTGCGAGGTCTTGGCCTTGTGGGAACATCAAGAAGTGGTGGAGTCACAACTGCCAGAAGCTCTTGGGACAAATCCCCAGCTAGTGTAAATGAAAGCTCCTCTGATTTACGCCTGCTGCGGATATGGCCCCTGGATTTCAAATGCAAAAACCAACACCCCGCCCCTCTTTGCGGGTATCAAAGTATTGTATTGTCTGTCAGACCCGATAGCATTTTGCTGAGTAATTTATTGCAATGATGAATCTAATCATTTTCTATACATTATTTTGTAAATCACATTGATTATTTATGATCAGGAAATTAAATGCAAACAAGTTAATAACAAGACCATCTTTTTCCAACTGTATGTAGAGATAGTGTGTGGGGAATATGTCTCAGTGCACATTTCATTCGCATCAGACATCCCCAGTACAGTACACAAATTTTTTGCTGGTTACTGCCTTCCAATGGAAATAGAGGAATATTTCTTCACTAGAGTTTGTATTAATAAGAAAAGAAATAAATGCAAAAATATTTTCTAACTTTTCCTGGACAGATGGATTTTTTTCTTCTTCTGGGAGCATAGTTCTAAACCCCCAGGCCCTAGTTAACTCTGGCAAAAGGGAGCGTGCATACCTTTGTTTTCCCAATTACACCAGGGCTGAATTTGACCCATAAACCAAATGGGTCTTCAACAATGTTGCCAACTCTCATTTTATCACAAGTCTCTCAATATTTGGTATTTTTCTTAAAGCCCCAGGTGCTGGAAGCATACGATTGCATGAGAATTTCATTTGAAAAAGTAACTTTCTAGACATCGTGGTTGTAGAGAAAAGCTTGAACACATGTAAGTTAAAAATTACGCAGTGAGGCTCAGAAACCAGAGAGTACAGGAAAAGAAACCTAAATCTATTTCTCTTAAATCCCAGGATTTTTTAAAGGAAATCACATGATTCTTGGGGGGGTTGACTCATGATTTTTGACTGTTTCGAGGAGGCAACAGAACTGCTGCTTTAGTTCTACACCCCACGCCCACTAGTTCCAGGGGGGTGTAAATGAAGGCAGAATTGGGCCTACAATGCCCCAAAGGACGACAAAGTGAATTAATCTGCCACATGTTTAGAAAACATGACCTATGAAGGAAGATTGAAAAAATTGGATTTGTTTAGTCTGGAGAAGAGAAGACTGAGAGGGGACATGATCACAGTTTTCAAGTACATAAAAGGCTGTTACAAGGATGGGGGAGAAAAACTGTTCTTCTTAACCACTGAGGATAGGACAAGAAGCAATGGACTTAAATTGCAGCAAGGGAGGTTTAGGCTGGACATAAGGAAAAACTTCCTAACTGTCAGGGTGGTTGAGCACTGCAATAAACTGCCTAGGGAGGTTGTGGAATCTCCATCATTGGAGGTTGGACAAACACCTGTCAGGGATGGTCTAGATAATACTTAGTCCTGTCATGCATGCAGGGGACTGGACTAGATGACCTCTCGAGGTCCCTTCCAATCCTACGATTCTATGATTCTATGGTTGTGAAGGTGAAGAAATACACTGACAATTAGGGAAGGCCGTTAATGACCTGCCCTTCTGATCAGATGAGTTTAATCTAAGCTATAGTGTGCACCGTAAGACATACATCCCAACATTTCCGATGGCTAAAGTAGGATGAGTCCTGCTCCCAGTTCGTGGGGTTGGGGGGGATCAGATGCTGCCCCTTGGAGGTGGGGGAAGTTGTAGAGTGAGCCCCCTCTGCACTCACCCTGCAACAGCAGCTCCTGCAGCTCCAGTCCCATGGAGCAGGCTGGGCTCAGCTCCCTGGTTCGAGCATTGTGACTTGGGCCCAGACTCATGGGGTTGCAGCAATGCTCAGGTTGGCCTGGCCCCTCTGATGGGGTGTGACTGGGCCAAATTTGAGTGAGTGGCACTGCAACCGCATGCCCCAAGTCGCAACATCAGAGGGGCTGAGCCAAACCTGCGTGGTACTGCAACCCCATGCTCCTGGGGCCAGCTCACAATGCCTGACATGGGGAGCTGAGCCCAACCAGCCCCACAGAACAGGAGCCACTCAACCAGACCAGGCGGTTTGGGGGAGCAAAGTGGAGCAGTCCTTTGAAACCCAGGGCTAGGGTTGCCATCTGTCTAATTGCACAAACCCAAACACCCTTGCCCTGCCCCAAGGCCCTGCCCCTTCTCTGAGGCCGTGCCCCCACTCACTCCATCCCCCTCCCTCCGTCGCTCACTCTCCCCCACCCTCACTCACTTTCACCAGTCTGGGGCAGGGATTTGGAGTGGAGATGGGGGTGCGGGCTCTGTGAGGGAGTTTGGCTACAGGAGGGGGCTCAGGGCTAGGACGGGGGTTAGGGTGCAGAAGGCAACGCCCCCACAGTTCCCAGCCAATGGGAGCTGCAGTGTCGACGCTCAGGGTGGAGGTAGCGCACAGAGGTGGCCGTTCCTGCCTGCACCTAGGAGCCGCAGGGACATGCTGCCGCTTCCAGGAGCTGTGAGGAGCCAGGGCAGGTAGGGAGCCTGCCTTAGGCCCGCTGCACTGCCCTCTTCAACCAGACTTTTGGCCTATTAAAATCTCCCAGATTGCTTTCAATGGCAACCAGGAGATTGAGGCCAAATCCAGGAGGTCTGACAAGCCCCTGTTGGGAGGTTTGGCAAGATAATAGAGGTTGAGAGATTGAGGCCTAGATTTCTGTAATAACTGAGACTTTGCCAAAGGAAAGACAATCATGCATTGGTGAGGGGTGACTGAGGCTTTCAGTTGTAGGCTTCCTCAGATAGTCACCACAAGCCATTCCCAACAAAGGGCTGCTCAATGGCCTATGTGAAATGAGTTAGGAGGTTCTCAGTCTATTTCCCAATGGGGACAGGCACTCACCTCACCTCTGGAGCTGCTTCTGTTGTAAGGCCACCTGGAAACCTGACTCTGTTTTAGGTGGAAAGTTGACAGCAGGAATTCAAATTCAGAGCTAGCTTCCCCATACTTTAGGGTTATTCATGTCACATCTTCAAAGCTTTTCTTTAGCTGGAAAATAGACAGTCCTGGAACCTGAACTCCACTGTTCAGTTACAGAACAGGTTCAGCAAAGGAAGTAGCAGGGCAAGTTCCCATCTCCCAGTCAGGCACCTGTGCGGTTAGCCTGCTTTGGTCCAAGCAAATGGGGTCAGCTTCTTGCCTCTAATAATGTGCAGCTAAGCCCAGGCCTCGCTCAATCTGGCCCAGCAAATGTGTAATGGTGCCGTTGTTTTACCTTGGTATGTGTTCAGTAAATCCATAGACAACATCAAATCTGTGAAGCAATAAATTCTCCTGGACTGCTGCCCACAAATTGCTCCACTGAGGTTACCCTTTGCCTAGTTAATCTATTTTAAATCAGCGTAGTCCCTACCTTGCTACCTTCAGTTTGTGCTGGAAAAAACCACAACCTCTCTCAGAAACAACTCTGGCCTCAAGTCAACTCCACTGTTACAACACTCCCTCCTCTTTCACCCCTGACAAGACACAACCAGGGAAGCTTCAGGCTGTCCCAGGCCCAGCAGAACAATGTTTTACCCTTTCTAAGGCTCTTGCCACTAAATGGCTCCCATGGCCATGGTTCATTTTGTTCTCTCTAAGATCATTTTCTTACACTATCTCTGACCAGGAGTGTGCTTTGTTCCCCTTTACTGGCCCTTGGATTTTAAGCATTTTCTGGACAGTAGCAGCATTATCTCCAGCAGTGAGGGTTTACCCTGACAGCCAAGCCACGTTGTGAGAAAGTGGGATTTTTAGTTGTGCTGTAAAATGGGATCTCATTCATTCCTTATGTCAGCCGGCTCCGAAATAGCTAATGGGCCTCGGAACTTTTCCCTTTTCCAAATGCTTTCATCTCTCAGTGGAACATAGGAATGGTAACTTGAGTTTTACAGCCCATAGATCACACCTGACAAAAGTAACTATTGCTGCTATTAAACCCTCAAGTACACACACAGCACTGGTAGCCATAAAAGCAGGAGCCTGCAGGGACAACGTGGCACTGCTGAGACAGGCATTTCCTTGTGCCAGGCTGTACAGTCCCTTCAAGGCTGATGGCAAGAATTGCAGCTCGATTTCGAGCTCCTCTGTTCTGCATC